TATTCTCGCCGAAGAGGTAGACGGGCAGGTCCCGCCCGCGGAGCGACGCCACGTACTGGTCCCCCGTCGAGATGCGGCCGAAGGCCGGCGCCGCGTAGGACTCCGCGAAGGCGACGGGCGCCGCGTGGCGCCGGTCCCGGTCGAGCGCGACGTAGGTCTCTTCGACGTAGGGCGCCTCGAGGGCCTGGGCGCTGCGCGAGCGCGTCGCCGCCGCCGACGGCGCGGGGCGGGCCAGCACGGCGCGGCGGGCCAGGGCGGCGCGCATGGCTTGCTTTCCTCCGTTCTCGTTTGTGGCAATTCGGTCAGCTTCGACTTTTGGCGGCATCGAATGCAGCCTCCGTTGCAGGCCATTCCGAGGAGCGATGCGCCCCACCACATCCATGCAATCCGCGTTCCAGCGCTGCACGAAGACCATACGCTGCACGAACGCTCTAAAAAACGCGCTGACGCGCTGCGCCAGCACGTCGAGCGCGCTCGCGGACTTGCGCGTCGTCGACGCCGCCAACGAGGCCTCGGCGCTCGTCGGCGGCGCCTGGGTCCGAACGGCGCGCACCTTCGCCGTCGTCGACCCGGGCAGCGGCGCGCCCATCTGCGACGTCGCGGACTGCGGGCCGGAGCAGGCGCGCGCCGCCGTCGACGCGGCCGCGGCCGCGCTGCCCGCGTGGGCCGGAACGACGGCTCGCGAGCGGAGCGACGCGCTCCGCGAGTGGCACCGGCGCATCCTGGCCGCGTCGGAGGACATCGCGACGCTGATGACGGCCGAGTGCGGCAAGCCCCTCGCCGAGGCGCGCGGCGAGGTCGCCTACGGCGCGTCGTTCGCAGGGCAGCACAAGAGAGCGAAATTCCCAACTTCAAAGGCTCCTATCTCGGCCGTTTTCACTCGTTTTGGCTGATTTTTGGACGAGTTATCATCTCTCGGAACGGTTTCGAAGCGTGGATGCTTTTCCTGGAACTCTCGCGCGCGAAACACCCAAGTTGAAGCGAGGTTGAATCACCCTTGTGCTGCCCAGGTCGTTCGTCGAGTGGTTCGCCGAGGAGGCGCCGCGCGTCGCGGGCGAGGTCAAGGCGAACGCGGGCTCCGACCGGCGGCTCCTGACCGTGCGCCAGCCCGTGGGCGTCTGCGCGGCCATCACGCCCTGGAACTTCCCCGTGGCCATGATCACGCGCAAGGTCGCGCCGGCCGTCGCCGCCGGGGCGGGAAAAGAGCGCGCGAACTTCCGAAAGGCTCCTACCTCGGTCGCTTTCCACTCCATTTTTGGACGAGCGATCATCTCTCGGAACGGTCTCGAAGCGTGGATGAGTTTTTTGAAACGCGCGCGCGCGGAACGCCCGCGTCGAATCGCCCGTCTCCCGGGGCCCAGGTCGCCGCGGGCTGCCCCGTCGTCGTGAAGCCGTCGGAGGACACGCCGCTCTCGGCGCTCGCGCTCGCGCGCCTCGCCGACGGCCTCTTCCCCGCGGGCGTGCTCAACGTGCTGGCGTCGTCGCGGGACCACGCGGAGCCCGTGGGCGCCGCGCTCTGCGACGCGCCGGAGGTCCGCGCGCTGAGCTTCACGGGGTCGACGGCCGTCGGCAAGTGGCTCTACCGCCGCTGCGCGGAGACGGTCAAGGTGCTGTCCCTCGAGCTCGGCGGCAACGCGCCGTTCCTCGTGCTCGAGAGCGCCGACGTCGACGTCGCCGCGGACGCGGCGATGACGACCAAGTTCCGCAACGCGGGGCAGACGTGCGTCTGCGCGGACCGGCGCGGACCTCGCATCCTCGACCCGACTTCAACGTGCGCGTCGTCGAACGGTTTGGACCAGACTCTTCAACGCGCGCGTCGTCGAACGGTCGGACCAGACTCTTCGGCCGCGCTTCGAGCGCTCGACGAGAGCACACGACTCGTCCCCAAAACCAGCCAAATCGACTTCTGAAGTTCGGCCCCGACGTCCCGGCTCACCGGTCGATGGCCACGCAGGCGCGGACCGGTTTCTGGTGCACGCGTCCAAAGTCGACGCCTTCGTCGACGCGCTCGAGCGTCGCATCGCGGCCCTGCCCGTGGGCCACGGCTTCGACGACGGCACGATGATCGGGCCCTTGATCAACCCGGCGGCCGCGGCCAAGGTCGACGCGCGCGTGCGCGCGTCGGGCGGGCGGACGCTCGTCGGCGGCGCGTGGCCCCTCCCGGGCCTCCGGGACGCGTTCTACCCGCCGACGATCGTCGCCGACGTGCCCCTGGACAGCGCGCTCTGGGTCGACGAGACCTTCGGCCCCGTCGTGCCGCTCCGGACCTTCGAGACGGACGCGGAGGCCGTCGCGCTCGCGAACGACGGGCCCGCGGGCCTCGCGGCCTACTGCTGCGGCGACCTCGCCCACGCCTGGGCCGTCGCGGAGCGCCTCGAGTTCGGCATCGTCGGCGTCAACGAGGGCGGCGTGTCGGACCCGGCGATGCCCTTCGGCGGCGTCAAGGAGTCGGGCCTCGGCCGCGAGGGCGGCGCGCACGGCATCGACGAGTACCTCGAGGACAAGTACCTCTGCCTCGGCGGCATGCGGTTCTGACGTCGGTTTTTTTAACGGCGCGCCTAGGCCGCCTTGGGCTTCGCCGCCCGCTCCGCCGCGGGCTTCGCCGGCGTCTCCGCCTTCGCCTTCGCCGCCGGCTTCTTCTTCCGGGGCCGCCAGGGGTAGAGGCCGAGGAAGGCGAGGGCGAAGGTGCCGAGGTCGAAGTAGAGCACGGGCTTGAACGTCTTCATGCCCTCCATGCACTCGTAGAAGGACGAGAGGAAGACCTGCGGCCGAACGTCGCTCGCGAGGATCGCGTCGGCCGATCTTCGGACGGATCGCCGAGCGCCCGACGCGGCGCCGAGCGCGCCTCTCGAGGACGCGCACGTTGAAGTCGGGTCGAAGCGGTCGCGGGCGCGCGCGTGGTGGTAGTGCGCGTCGTCTCGCCACCTGGGCGGGAAACGGGTGATACAACGTGAGCGTTCCGCGCGCGCGCTTGCAGAAACAGCATCCACGCTGCGAGACCGCTCCGAGGGATGATCGCTGGTCCAAAACTCGGCCGAAACGAGTGGAACACGGTCGAAGTTGGGAATTTCGCGCCCGTTTCCCGCCCCGCTCGCCGCGGGTGGTCGCCCCACCTGCCCCGCCAGTGCCAGAAGTTCTTGCAGCGCGGGTGGCCCATGGTGTCGCGGTCGAAGTAGCCCAGCGCGTTCGCGTAGGCGCCGGCCTCGAAGGCCACGAGGCTCAGCGGTATCTGCCAGTGGAGCGCGCTCTCGGGCTCCGCCGTCGCCGCGCACCACAGGAGCCAGCCGCCGATGTAGAGCGTGTGGACGCCGACGTAGCCGTGGGCGTAGCGCAGCGCCTGGGCCACGGGCGCCTCGAGCTCGGACGGGTGCACGCCCTTGTAGGGGTTGCGGCCGGAGTCGGTGATGGGCACGACGGGCGTCCCCAGATCCTGAGCGCTGTAGTTCCAGGCGTCGGGGCCGAGCACGCCCTGGACCCAGTCGTTGACGCTCGTCACGCTCGCGTGGCCCACGAGCAGGCACAGCAGCGCGCGCGCGATGCCCAGCCAGTTGCGCATCTCGCGCAGAAAGTTCAATACCTCGCGCCGAGGTCGAAATTGACGCAACTGCAGCTCGCGAGCCTCTGCTGCGCTTGCGCCGCGCGCTGCGCTCGACACCGCTCGCGCCGCATCGCGCTTCCGCGCTTCCGCCGCGTCGCGTCGCGTCGCCGCCGCCGCCGCCCGCGACGCGATGGCGGGCCGGCTGCTGCCGCTCGAGCTCGTGGACAAGTGCATCGGCTCGCGCATCTGGGTCATCATGAAGGGCGACAAGGAGGTCGTCGGCACGCTCCGCGGCTTCGACGAGTACGTCAACATGGCGCCGCGCCCCCAACGCCGCGCGCCGGACGCCGCGGCCCGCAGGTCCTCGACGACGTGACCGAGTACTGCGACGGCGCGAAGACGCAGCTGGACCAGATCCTCCTCAACGGGAACAACGTCTCCATGATGGTGCCCGGGGGCGACCCCGAGGCGCCGGACTCGCGCGTCTTCCCGCGTCTCGCCGCGCGTCTCGCCGCGCGCGGACCCGCGCGCGCCCGCCGCAGGCAACCGAAGTGACGCCGCGCGCGCGCGCGCGGATAACGACTAGTCGATCGTCGCGCGGCAGCCGCGGTCGCGGGCGCCGAGGAGCGCCCGGCAGGTCGCGCGGTGCGCGGCGACGGCGGCCGCGTAGAGCGCGCGCTCGCGGGACACGTAGGCCGCGAGGCAGAGCGCGTCCGTGGACGTCAGCTGCCGCAGCACGCTCGCCGTGGAGAAGGCCTGGGAGTGGACGTTGCGCCGGTCGTCGTTGTGCCAGCCGCGCCAGCCGTGCGTCGGGTCGAGGAACGCCTGGAGCATGCGCATGGACGCGTCCCAGTTCTCGACGACGCCGACGACGTCGAAGCGCCGGAGGTTCGCGGCCGCGGCGGCGTAGGCCGCGGACGCGTTGCGGCCGGGCGGCGCGAGGTATTTGACGGCGTTGCGCGCGGAGCCGGGCGCGCCGCGCGCGCGGCGCCGGAGCTCGTATAGCACGTGGTCGAACTTCCAGGTGGGGTGCACGTAGCGGATGCCGGAGACGACGGCCGAGTCGGGGTCCCGCAGGAGCGTGACGAGGCGCGCCCGCGGGAAGGCGTCGACGAGGCCGAAGTGGAGGTGGCCGCCGACGACGTCCGCGCGGTTCAGGTGGAGCACGGACCGCCGGTTCGCGTCGCGGGGCATGTGGATCTCGTCCTTGACCTTGCAGTTGACGAGCGACGCGCCCAGGACGTTGCGCTCGCAGTGGGTGAGGCACGCCCAGCGCAGGTCGCAGGCGTGGGCGTATTGCCGGAGCTTCTCGCGAATCGTTGTGCCGGCGGCCTTGAAGATGTGGAAGTAGAGCACGGCGGCGCCGTCGCGGCGCGGCGCCTGGCCGCACTGCAGCCCGCTCGTTCGATGCGTGATCGGCAGCGAAAGGACGACGCCGGCGACGACGAGGAGAAGCGCGGCGCGCGGCATCGCTAGGGTGTCTCGTGGTGGTCCAACACTGTTTCGGGGCAGCTCGCCGTCATCGCATCAACAACTTTGCTTGCCTCTCTTTGCCTCTCGATTTTGAAACAATCGGCTTTGCCTCTCGCACGACGCAATGACCGAAGCGCTGCAGGCCTCCGCCGACGAGCTCATGGCGATGATGCACGCCGACGGCCCCGTCGTCAAGTGCGTCATCGTCGCCGCCGACGGGACGGCCGCCGAGGTGGAGCTGGACATGACGCCGAAGAAGGAGGCCGTCAAGGAGGCCCTGGGCGGCGCCGTGACGTTCCTGGGCCAGTGGGAGCCCCTGGGCGTGTTCCTGCTCGTGCGCCGCGAGGACGGCGGCCTGCCCAAGTTCGCGGGCAGCCTGCCCAAGCCCTTCGACGCCGCGACGGGTGTCTTCGGCGGCGCGTGCCTCATGACGCGCACGGACGAGTCCGGCACGCCGTCGGACTTCTCCCTCGCGGAGTACGAGGCCTTCGCGGCCAAGGCGCCCGAGCCCTGGCAGGACATGGACCTCGAGGACGACGACGACGACGGGGGCCTCGCGGCCGTCGCCGAGGGCGACGAGGACGACGAGTCGTCGGACGACGACGACGACGACGACTCGGACGACGAGGACGACGCCTACGACAGCGACGCCGCCGACGACGACGAGCGCCTCGCGGCCGAGGAGGACGAGGACGACGGCGAGCTCGCGGACCTGCTCGTCGCCGCGTGCCTCAAGAAGTTCGCGGAGCGCGAGGGCCGCGAGCCCACGGCCGCGGAGCGCGCGGACATCGAGCGCGAGGTCGCGGAGAAGCTCGGCGCCGGCGCCGACGACGAGGCCGCGGCGGGCGAGGCCATCATCGTCGACAAGGTCGTCGCGGCGTTCACGGCCCAGAACGGCCGCGCGCCGACGCCCGAGGAGATCGACGCGATCCTCGAACGCCTCCGCGCGACGGAGGAGGGCGGCGGCGACGACGACGAGGCGGCCGAGGAGGAGGAGGAGGGCGAGCCGGACATCTTCGCGCAGCTCGTCGACCTCTTCAAGCAGCAGAACGGCCGCGACCCCACGGAGGAGGAGATGCAGCAGTGGCGCGACACGCTCAAGGAGGCCGCCGAGGACATGGCCCAGGAGCCCGAGCCCGCCGACGACGGGCCCGCGGCGAAGAAGGCCAAGACCGTCGAGGCCTAGGGCCGGGAGGCGCGCGCGCCGGGTAAGATGTACTGACATCAACGAGGCGATGTTTACCCGACCCGTCCTTAACCGAGCGCCGCGAAGATGCGATCGTGGCGCATGTGGGACGCGTCGGCGCAGTTCACGAGCGTCGTCTCGATGTCGGACGCGTGGCAGTAGTAGGCGGCCTCGATGTTGCACGGGTCGCAAAAGTACCCCCGCAAGATGGGGTAGGTCTTGCGGTGGTCCGCGCAGAGGCCCCGGTTCGTCGACACGCGGCGCTTGAGCTCGTCCGGCACCTCCGCCAGCGGCCGGCGGACCTCCTCTCCGTCGTCCGCCATGGTCTCGGGGGCCGACGACACGGGGAAAGCGGGGTTGAGCGCGTCCAGTTCGTCCCGCGGGGACTGCGACGACTTCCGCTTGTTCGCCGCGGCCTGCGCGGCGAACGCGTCCTTCGACGCGCAGTGCTCGCAGGCCAAGGGCGGCTCGCGCGTCCCGCGCGCCGCCTCCCGGCACTTGATGTCGAAGGCGCGGAGCCAGTCGAAGGCCTCGCTCCCGACGAACTTGAGCACGACGCCCTCCATCTGGAAGTAGCTGAAGTCGCAGCCGAGGAAGAAGGGGCGCATTTTCAGCTCGCTCCAGAAGTCGTACCACTCCTTGCGGTATTCTCGATGGAGGCGGTTCTTCAGGTCGAAGTCGTGGTGCTCCGTGCTCCGCAGGTCGAACGAGAACGTGGACTGGAAATCGAGGTACGCGCGCTCGATCGTCACCGCAGCGTGATCGTCGTCGAGGTTGGAGGTGTCGGGGTACTGGAACTCGAAGGGCGACAGGAAGGGGTACGGGCGCCCGTCGGTAAACTTGACGGCCTTCCGCTCGTAGGACCCCGCGTCCCGCAGCGTGTCCTTGGCCTTCATCTCCGCCTGGGCAGGACAAGAGTGCGAAATTCCCAACTTCAAAGGCTCCTCTCTCGGCCATTTTCCACTCGTTTCGGCTGATTTTTGGACGAGCGATCATCTCTCGGAACGGTCTCGAAGCGTGGATGCTTTTCCCAGAACGCGCGCGCGTGGAACACTCACGTTGAAGCGACGTTGAATCACCCTTGTCCTGCCCTGATCTCCGCGAGCTCCGCGAACATGGCCGCGCGCGCGTCGGAAGCCAGGTACTTGAGGGAGCGGGGCGCGCCGTGGATGGCGGACCAGAACGCGTCGAGGCTCACGGGCCGGCCGGTGGAGCGCAGCTTCGCGATGTTGAGCATGATCTCGTGCGGGAGGTCGTCGAGCCGCGCGTCCTCCGGCGTCGCGTGGTCGTCGGGCGCGCCGTCGATGGCCGCGACGCGGCGCACGACGAAGCGCGCCGTGGCGGCGGCCCGGAGGTGGGCGGCCAGGTTGTACGAGGAGAGGAAGATGAAGTAGCAGAGGAGGAGGAACGCGGCGTCGGCGTCCTCCACGGCGCCGTGCGCGCCCTTGAGCGGCACGGAGAACGCCTGGAGGTAGACGCTGCCGAGGTCGCAGTTGAGGTCGTTGCTGGGCCGGCCGAGCGTGTCCCGCGCCATGGCGAGCGTGTCGATCGTGGGGGCGCCCTCGAAGACGACGTCGAAGTCGTTGTCGAGCAGCGCCTTCGCGAGGAACTGGAGGTCGAAGGGCACGTTGTGCGCGACGATGACGTAGTCCTTGAGGCCGCACATGAAGGAGACGAAGCCGCTGAGGGCCGTCTTGATGTCGACGGCGTCGTGGCTCTCTAGCACCGGGCGTGTGAGGCCGTTGATCTTGATCGCCGTGGAGTGTGGATCGAGGACGACGCCGTGCGGCGGCATGACGTAGACCGTGTACGTGCGGTTGTCTTTCTCGTCGACGACCTTGACGGCGATCTGCAATATGTGACTCGTGATCTCGCGACCGTCGGTCTCGATGTCGATGACGGCGATGGTGGCGCCGTCGGCGCCGATCTCCTCGCGGATGGCGCTCTCGTAGTCCGGGATGAGGGGCGCGGGCGCGGGCGCGGGCGCCTCCGTGACGGTCGCGGGCGCGGGCGCCTCCGTGACGGGCGCGGGCGCGGGCGCCTCCGTGACGGTCGCGGGCGCGTCGTCGGCCTCCGGCTCGTCGGAGCCGGCGTCGAAGTTGGTCGCGTCGCCGCTCCACGGCGCGTTGCCGCTCTCCGAAGCGTCGCCGTCGCCGTCGCCGGCGGCGCCGGGCTGCGCCTCGCGCGCCTCAGCGGCGCGGGCGAGGAGCGCCTGCGCGTGGGCCGGGCTTAGCTGGGCCAGCCGGGCGACCAGATCGTCGTCGTCCATGCTTTGCCCTTTGCAGATGATGGTGAGCAGCACGCCCTTGGCGGACGAGGCGCCGCAAGGCATCGGCATTGCAGAGTAAACGCAATCCATCGATGCTTCGGCCACCCTCGGGCCTCGTCCAGAGGCTGCCCATCGATGGGCTGCTCGAAGCGTTGACAACATGCGACATGGTGGTGCTGCAGCGATCCAGCGAGGCGCATCGAAACCCGCGGTGACGGAACGCAGCTCTTGCAAGGGCGCCGCGACCAGCACCTGGGACGCGCCGTAGTCAGTCGCTCCTGGAGAACACGGCGTCGTCGTCGACGCCCGGCCCCTCGGCCACGACGTCGGCCGTGCCGAGGACATCGGCGAAGCCGTACGTGCCATCGAACCCCACGGACACGTTCAACGCCGTCGCCGGCGCTGCCGAGGGCGGGGGTCAAACCGCGCCGCCTCGCGCTCGGACGCGATCACCCGCCGCTGCACGCAGCAGGTCGTCGGCGCGCTGCTCAGCGTGCTCCAAGGCATCTCGTCGTCCAAGATCACAGTCTTGCGCAGCGGGCAGCGCACGGGCCGCGAGTTCGTCGTCGAGGCCTGCGGCGCCGCGCGCTCGGACATGCCGGACTGCCCCGACCGCGCGGTACCGCAGAGCCAGCCCTTCGACGACGCGTGCGGTCGGCCTTCTTCTTCAACTTCTTCTTCTCCAACGCCGCCGTCGCCGTCGCCCTCGACGTGCTCCAGCTCTTCTACGACACTAGGCCGACGACGGCTCCGGCGGAGACGCTCCGCCACTCGCCGAGCCGCCTCTGCGCGGAGAACCCGCGCGACGTCGCGGGCCTCGACGTCGACCGGGAGATCTGAGAACGCGTACTGTCTCGAGAATGAGAAACCGAGACAGTACGGGCTTTTGGCTGCCTCACCGGTCCCCGGTGGCCCCCGGACACGCGTCTTCTCACGAACGGAGCGCCAAGATTAAGCGGAGAGGGCACTGGAGGGGGGCTGGCGCGTCCAGCTCGCGCGATCGCGCGTGTTCGCGCGTCGTGATGGGCGTCTGGGAGCCGTCGGTTTCCCGGGCAGCGAGCGGCTCTCGGGTCGAACGCCACACCGCGCCCTCGGCGTCGCCCGGACGGCGTTCGAGCCATGGGAGACGGTCGTTCAGGGCTCCTCGCACCGCATGACGTCGCCGTTCGCGACCTTCTCCGCAGCGACCGTCGCGCTCGGTGCAGTACTGGAGCTCGTAGTAGGAGCCCTCGAGGTAGGCGCCGTCGAGCGCGAGGTCCACGGTCTGCTGCTCCGTCGCGGCGCCCTCAGCGGTCTCGACGTCGATGTCGCGCGGGTTCTCCGCGCAGAGGCGGCCGTTGGCGGCGAGCGCGGCCACGTCCGACGAGTCGCCGGCGTCCGCGGCGTCGCCGGAGGCGCCGGCGCCAAAGTAGACGCTGTAAAAGTAGCGGTCGCCGCGCGCGCCGCGGCCGGAACGCGTGGCCACGACGCAGTCGTAGCTTGCGTCGAACTGGTCGAGCGCCGCGGCGATTCGGACGTCGGCCGACGGCGTCCCAGCGGCCCGGTTGCCGCCGCTGCGCGCCAGAGCGTGCGCGAGAGCCGCCGCAGCGAATCTGTCCAGGACGCCCCAGACGTCCTCGGGCCGTCTCGCCACCGGCGCTCTGCCGCCCGCCGGGCAGCCGACGATTGGCAGCCCCAACCAGCCGCCAAGCGGTCGGTGTCGCGCGCAGTCCGCCGGTCGAGATCTCGCGCAGCGTTTGAAGCGATTGCCTTGCGTCGGCGGACACGGAGCACCGCACGCGCTTGGCGCCCAGGAAGCCCGACTCTGATGTCGAATGTGCTCATGGCCTCGAGGCCAAGTCTTGGAGATCCCTCGTTTGGATTTACACATTGTTTGCAATTGCACGTCACGATGGGGACCAGTCCCGACGCCTCGTCGGCCGGCGTTGTCATGGCGCCCTTCGTCCCGCGGCGGCGCGGTGCCCCCGGTGGGTCGCCTGTGTCGGCGGCGGCGCCCAACACCATCATGGTGGGCTGCCGCTGTCGGAGCAAATGCTCGGCCTCGCCGATCCCGACCGAGCTGCCACAGGAGCTTGGCCTCTTGGCGGCGCGCGATCGAGACCGTCGCGCACGGGCGCCGCGCCGTGTCGCTCGCGCCCCTCTCCCCAGACCGCGCGGCCGTCGCTCGCGCCCCACTCCCCAGGCCGCGCGCGCGCCGCCCCGGGGCGGCGGGCGGCGACGGTCGAGCGCCGAGCGCCGACCATCTTTTACACATGTTTTTACACAGGTGATAGCAAGAGCCTCGCTCGCCGCCGCAAGGCCGCCGCTCAACGCGCCGCCCGGCCTCTACGCATATCATGTCCGAGGGGTTCGACGACGAGCAGCGCCCGCCGTCTGCGCCAGGATCATCAAAACCTGTGCAGAATCCGGTGCCGCGGTCGCCGGAGCGGGACTCGCCGGCCAAGAAGAAGCACGCCAAGGAGGTCGTCGCAGCTCTAGAGGAGCACGCGCGCGCGGCGGCCGAGGAGCAGGCGCGGCGCGCGGCGGCCGAGGAGCAGGCGCGCGCGGCGGCCACGGAGAAGGCGCGGCGCGCGGCCGCGGACGCGGCGCGCCGCCGCTTCGAGGAGTGCCGCCGCGGCCTGAAGCCCCTCAAGGGCTTCGACGACCCGTTCTCCACGGGCTTCCTCAGCTTCGGCTTCTTCGCGAGGCGCGAGGGCGGCGACTTCGACTACTACCCGGACCTCGCGGCCTTCAAGAAGGCGTTCAAGGACGACTTCCACTGGAGGCCGTCGGAGACGCCGCGCAACGTGGCCTGGCAGTTGCGGGGCATGCCGTCTCCCTTGGACCTGTGCAAGGTCTACGCGTCGCTCTGGCCGGCGGACCCGCCGGCGAGCGCGGTCGCCGCCGCCGTCAAGAATCTCAGGCCCGCGCGCGCCAAGCGCGCCGCGCCCGCGGTCGCCTCGAAGGCGAAGGGCGACCTCCGGGGCCGGCGCGTGGGCTCGCACCTCCTCGGCCGCATCGTCAAGGTCCTCCGACCATCCCCCAGGGAGGGCCACTGCCTCGTCGTGGGCGTCGTTTCGGCCGTCGCCGGCGCCGTGTCGAAGCACAGCGGCGACGTCGTCCCGCAGGGGCACTTCGAGGTGGAATTCGACTTCGACGACGCGTACGCGGGCTTCGTCGACCTCTCGCCCCGCTTCATCGAGGCGGCGAAGCCGAGCTACGATGTCCAGGAGACGGTCGACGCCTGGGACTTCTTCTGGGACTTCTCCGACGAGGCCACCGACGCGGTGGAGCGCGAGCCGCCGGCGCCCGTCCCGGAGGAGTCCGGCGCGGCCTCCACGGCGGCCGGGGCCGGCGTGGAGACCGCGACGCCCTTCGGCTTCTACGACCCGGCCCAGGTCGACCCGAGCTTTCGCGCGGCCGCCGTCGACTACGGCGGCGAGGACTTCCGCGAGGCCGTCACGCCCCTCGCGCTGAAGCTCGGCGAGTCCGCCGAGGGCCTCGCGGCGCTCGCGTACGCGCTCGCCGAGGCGAACGTCGCCGTCCTCGGGCCCGGGTCGTCCTACGCCGTCGACGGCGGCGGGCCGCCGGACATGGCCATGCTCCCGGCGCGGCACCTGCGCGACGTGCGCGACGGCGGCTGCCTCGAGGCCGCGTTCCGCGCGCTCGACGCGGGCGCGCGCGCGGCGCTGAGCGGCGGCGACGAGGCGGCCAAGCACGGCGCGCTCGCGGCCGTCGCGGGCGCCTGGGCCGACGCGGGCCTCTACGCGCCGCCCGCGGTCTGGTTCGACGACGGCGTCGACCCCGCCGTCGCCGCGGAGCTCGGCACCGTCGCCGCGGAGCTCGGCGCGACGCTCGCCAACTCGCAGGCCGAGGCGACGCACGTCGTCCGCCACGACGCGGCCATCGACGGCGTGCCCGACGTCGACGGCGCGCCCGACGTCGACAACGCGAGCATGGACTTCAGCGACCACGGCATGGACGTCGACCGCGCCGACCCCCAGTACTTCACGACGCTCGTCGTCGACGCGCGGCGGCGCCTCGCGCTCGTGCACTGGTGGTACCTGCCGGACTCCAAGGACGAGTGGATCCCGCTCGAGCGCGTCGCGGTCAAGGGCGTCACCATCGCCGACGCGACGGCCTGGAACCGCCCGGCCACGCCGGGGCGCCGGCCCTTCCGCGTCTGCGAGCGCTACCTCCGCGACGCGGCGAAGTCCCGCGAGTTCGGCTCCGAGGCCGACTACGCGCCCGAGGACGACGACGCCGCGCCGGGGTCCAGGAGACGCCCGAATTCGAGGTCCACATGTACCACCCGGACCTCCCGCCGCGCCAGATGGACCTGTACGCCAAGGGCCTCGATTTACGCGTCGCGTGCGGCGAGGACGCGCGCGTCTTCTTCGCGCAGTGCACCTGGAAGGCTCTCCACGCGTTGCTACGCTACGTCTACAACGTCAACATCAACGTATTACAAATCTCCCGTCCTCTGATGATCGACGCGCTCTGCGCCGCGGGGATGTGCGCCGTCGACCCCCGGAAACACGGCGCGCAGATCACGCAGGTGAACACGAAGAAGTTCCAGAAGCAGTCGATGATTGTGATGCTCCAGACCATGAATGTCGCCCGCTCCCAACGCGCCGCCGAGCGGCTCGCCGGCTCGCCGTCGAAGATGCGCGGCATCGGCGGGCGGGCTCCCGCTCGGACCGTGGGAGCGTCGTACAATGTGCTCAGCAGAAAGAAAGCGCACCACTTGTTCAAGCGCCAGTTCCGCCCGTCGGCCGACGAGATGCCGTCGGCGAAGTACACGCCGGAGGTCGTCGAGTGGTACACCTACACGCCCTACTGGCCGCACGACAAGTTCGACTCGAAGCTGGACTGCTACTGTTGCGCGCGGCTGTACCAGGACACCGGCGGCATGGTCTTCTGCGAACACGCGCACGTGCCGCTCGCGTCCCTGGTCGCGGTGCGCGACAACGGCGCCTGCCACGTGTGCAACGTCGTCTGGATCGCCACGTTCGACGACCTCGCCGAGCGCTACGACCTCGACTTGCCGCAGAAACGCTACGTCGCGCGCGCGCTCGCCCAGCACTGGGCCTAGGGCGCCGCTAACGCTGTGTCATACTCCAGCCTAGGGCCGCGAGGCTCCGCGCGCCGGGTAAGAAGTACTGAGAGGCTACTGAATGCGGCGCATGCCATCATGATCGGACCAGCGCATGACCCCCGGCCGGCCAAAAAAATCGTTGCGGCGGCGCAGGTGGGCGCGACGCTGGGCGCGACGAGACGGTGCGCGCGACGTTACAGAACCAAAAACACAGCGTTAGCTTCGTAAGGTGTCGCTTCGAACCTTTCAAACCGCGCGAAGCCAAAAAAAATCGCGTCGAAAGACACTACACGCGACAATGACGACCTCGCCGTCGCGGCGCTTAACGCTCGCGGGGTTCCAGAAGCCCGCGTACGTCGACTTTAAGACGACGACCATGGAGCCGTCGACGGCGACGATCGTGCTGGACTGCCCAGGGTTCCAGAAGCCCGCGTACGTCGAGGTCGCGAAGACGCCGCCGGGGGTGACGGCGGTCTTCGAGGGCGAGAGCGCGACGGCGACGGTGAAGCCGGGCGAGTTCGCCGTCTGCGTCCTGACCTGGGCGCCGGAGCGCGAGGGCGACTTCCGCGGCACGGTGACGTTCAAGCTCGACGGGAAGCACCGGCTGACCGCGACGGTCTGCGGCCGGAGCTCGACGGCCGACGCGACGAAGCCCGCGAAGGCGCCGCCGAAGAAGCCCCTCGCGCGCGCGAACCGGCGGAGCCGGAGCCCGCCGCCGCCGGTGCGCGCGCGGCTCGCGGCGCCGAGGGCGGCGGCGCCGCGGCCCGCGGCCGACGACGACGCGCCGCGCGAGGAGGACGAGGCGCTGCGCGCGTGGCTCGAGGAGGCGCTCGTCGGCGCCGCGCCCGCCGCGGCGGACACGCCCCTGCAGCGGGAGCTCGCGGCGGCGCGCGCGGGCGAGACGCGGCGCCGCGCGGCCGCGGTCTGGGCGTCGGCGCCGCTCCGGGCCGCGCGCGAGGCCGTCGCGCGCGAGGTCGAGGCCGGGCGCCTGGGCCTGCGGCGGGGCCTCGACGTGCGCTGCGACGTCGCCCTGCGGGGCGCCGTGCTCGACCTCCTGGGCTGCTACGACCGCGCGTGGCTCAGGGTCGCGCTCGACGCCGCGGACCCGCTCCGGAGGGCCGGCGCGTCGCTCGCGGACTTTCTGTTCGGCGACGGCGAGACGAACTTCTACAGGGACCCGGAGCGCCGGGGTTTCGGCGGCCGCGGGGGCGGCGTCTGGGGCGAGGCCCAGGGCCGCCGCCTCGCGCGGCGCTGCGTGCGCCGCGTGCTCGCCGTCGTCCACTTCTTGGACGCCGCGCGGCGCGCGGACGCGCTGCCGACGCGGCCGCGGCTCTTCTCCCTGAAGCGCGGCGCCGTGCTCTGCGGCCGCGGGCCGGCCAAGGTGCCCGTCAAGACGAGCGCGGAGGTGCTCCGCGCGTTCGGCTCCGAGGCGCTCGGCGGCGAGGGCGACGTCGCGGGCCACTGCGGCCGCCTCGGCGTCGCGCTAACCTTCGAGCAGACGCCCCTCCACGAGTTCGACTGGCGCGTGCGGGACCTGCGCCACGACCTGCGGGACGGCGTGCGCCTCGCGCGCGCCGTCGACGTCTGCGCGCGCGCCGAGGGCGCCGCCGCCGACGCCTGCGCGGCGCTCCGCGCGCCCGCGTTCAGCCGGCTCCAGAAGCTCCACAACGTCGCCGCGGCGCTCGGCGCGCTCGAAGGCCTCGGCGCCTTCCCGCCCCCGGGCCGGCGCGCGCTCGCGGACTGGGCGCGCGCCGTCGTCGACGCGAAGCCCTTCCGGCGGACGCGCGACGTCCTCGACGCGCTCGCGGGCCGCTTCGCGGGCGCGCGGCGCGTCGCCGACGCCGCCGCCGTCGGCCGCGAGGTCGCGCGGCTCCGCGACGCCGACGCCTGGCGCGACTTCGCGCGGCTCCGGGGCGCCGGCGGCGACGCCGTCGACCGCGCGGCGGCCGCGGCCGCCGCGGCCGCCGCGGAGCCGGCGACGGAAGCGGCGGCGCCGGGCGACGCCGCGGAGGCCGCGGCGCGGCGCGCGCTCGCGGCCTGGGCCCGCGCCGTCGCCGCGGGCGCGGGCGTCGCGCCCTTCCGCGACGCGGCCGCGGGCCTCGTCGCGCCGGAGCTCGTCGCGGCCGCCGTCGCGGTCTACCACCCGACGCTCGCGCCGGCGGAGCGCGACGCGGCG